AGGGGTAATTAACTAGTAGTCTCTATAGGCGGTAGTAAGGTAAAACTAACGATAGCTGCCTAGTATTTTATATAATAGCAAATTTATATGCTTTTACTCCGTAGACGTAAGGTCGGTTAACGGTCGGTTAACTAGTCGGCGGTAATATCGGCGTCTTTTATAGCGTCTCCTATCGCTACCCCCTTACTAACTCCTATATCGCCCGCCTTAATACTATTAAGTAACTCTACCCTATATACTTTCTCTACTTAATATCCTAAAGCTCTAGACGAGTTTATATAGGATCGCATTATATACGTAAAGCGCGAAATAGTTATAAATAAAGGATATTATCTTAGTTCCTTATATATCTAGAAGTATAGTCTCTAGTATATTCGATATAATAATAAGAAGGAAGTATACTACTAGGATAAATATATAGCTAGATAATATTAGCGAAAATATTAGATCGATCGTTATTAAGATACTTTAAGAATATAATATTAGTAGAGATTTAATTAGATATTTTATACTAGATAACGCCTCGTTAAATAATACCGCTATTAAGTTTATACTTAAGTAGCTCTACCTATAGATAAGCTCGAAATAGCGCTACTATCGCTAACTATACTACCTAGGATATATTATTAATCTCTATTATTAAGCGTTCTTAATAGGTCGGAATTATAATAAATATCTTATAAAGCTTAAAAAGTATTACTTATAAGAAGACTATATAAAGGTAGAGGAGCTATAAAGGAAGTTTAGATATTTAGGTTAACTTTATAACCTAGTACGGTATATTAGGCTTACCCTAGAGCGTTATAAGGAGTTTACTATAATCGTAGTTAGCGGTAACCTCTTTATATTTAATAGACTCGAATTAATATAGAATAACTTAAGGTATTAAAACTCTTAGTTTTATTCTATTATATATATATTAAATATTTAAGAACGTCTAGAGCTCTTCGTAGCTCGTTATATCTTTATAAAAGGCTCTTATAAAATTATATACTCTAAGTTAGACGGATAGCACTAGTTTAAGCTCGAAAAGATCGAACTAGCTCTTAAAGATTTCTAAGCCGCGATATTACTTACCGAAGGTAAGAGAACGTCGCTTATTAACTAGTTCTTAACCTTAGATTGCCTCCTTTAAGAAATAAGTAAGATAAAGGATTACTACTTTAATATCTATATAAACGATAATAATAATTTTATATAGTAGTACCTATAAGGCTATATAAACGCCGCTTAGTTAAAATACGCTAAATACTATAATAATTAGTAATTAAACTAAAGAAATCGATTCCCTAAAGATACTAACCTTCTACTAGTATACTTTACGGCTTAAGTTCTTAACCTATATAAGAAATAAGCATATTTTAGATAAGAATAGGTTCTTCTAGGCGATAAGGAGAAGAGGAGGTAGTTCGATAGCGCGTAGCTAGCCGTAAAAGAGCTCTAGAAACGGAGTATAAGGGAAAATATCCTATTAAGATAGTTTTCTCTCTAAAACCTATAGAGAGAGACCTAGATCCTACGTTTAATCGTTAGCGGGAGTATAAGCGTATCCGAATTAACGGTTTAGTTTCTATAACTAATTTATACGAGTAATATATTGCTACCGACCGACTCTATAACGATAAGGTAGGATGCGACGATACTATTGCGTATTAGCTTTCCCGCTACGACTCCTAAAGAGACCTCGCCCGCTTTATACTAGACCTTTTTACTATCTAACCTATATCGGATAAATATAAACGCCTATTTAGTAGCGCTAACCTTACCGTGGTTGATCGCAGGGGCAGGCTAGAGGCCGATATTATTGAGGCATGCGAGTGTCTCCGGGCCTAGTTTAGAGAGCCGAGTATAGAAGATAATAGCGACGGCGAAGGTTAGGTATAGATAATAGAGGCAGCTTTTGAGTGCGATCGGTGCTTAGCTATATAAATAAGTTGTTGCATTTCCTCTTGCCTTATATGGCCCCATCCTTGTTGGTCTCGTGGTTGGACCGGTCCGACCAACCGGTCCGGCCAAAGTGACTTGGTCTGGTCTGGTCTGACCCCCCAGACCAGACCAGACCAGACCAGACCATTCCGATCACTGCGTCATAGTCGGAATCCGGCCCATCGAGAGGAATATAAGACTTATCTTTAGCCCGGCCTTTCTAACGCACTAAGTAAATCATCGACATATAGTTATATAGACATAAGTCTCGTAGAACAGGGCCGCGATAGGCGTACGCGTCTAGGTATAAAAGGGTTCGCCCTCCTTGCCTTAAAGGGATTGTCTCCGGGGGCCGTTCTGCGTCCGTGAGCTCGCCGGCCTGGTGGCGGAGATATGCCTATAGCCGAAAGATTGTCTAGTAGAGGGCCGTTAAGTTTAGGAACGACCAATGCGGCACGTTAGTAAAGTCGGTGTTATATCTAAGGAGGTGGTAATAGACCTCTATAGCCGAGATTGCAGGAAGGTTGCGCCACACCACCGGCTACGGCTCGTGCCCTCGCCGTCTGCAGCAGTCAATCGAGCGTTAGGCAAGGACTTCGACAGGTTCGTCAGGCTGGCGAAAGCGAGCTCCTTCTTCGTAGGGATCTGCCCACGCCACTAGGCAACCCATTATTTCCATCTTGCCATCTCACACTTTCCCCTTCACCACCCCCGTCCCCACCTCTCCTCATACATGTCGACCTCAAGAGGCGTTACGGCTTCGCGACCAAGCGTCTGGCGAGGTCAACTAGGGGCTGCCAGGCCCCCACAGCTACTTGCTGATCTGATCACTGACAGCGTTTCACATTAGACCTGGACGTCCCGCTGACGGGCAATAGGCTTACTAAGAGCGCCGTTGAGCCGATGAAATGCTGGATAGCGGGTGAAATGTGTGATATATACCATATAGATACCCACTAGCTCAGCACGTCCTGTGCTCCCTCGCGGAGACCTGAGCGGCCAAAGCTGCTGGACGGAAAATACACTAAACTAAACTAAACTAAACTAAATATCTAAATAAATCGGCCACTTGAATTTGATTTGATTTGGCTAAATGTCGATTTGATTTGAATATATTTGGAACCGATTTATTTGTTTGCAACCCTGGTCGGATCCAGAGTCGAGGATGAAGGAGTGTAAGGCGCACAATCACGACGAAACAGAGAGTGAAGAACGGGGGCCGTGATGCAATTGTTGATCTCTGAAGAACTCCTCCAAGAGACCGTGGTCATCCTATAGCCCTTATATCTACGGGGCGCAGTGGCTAGTCTAGCCACTGCAAGGAATGAACCAGCCACCCACTGCGACCTAGGTCCACAGGCTCGTGACAGGCGCTTGACAAGGAGTCACGCAGAGGGTACACTCCCTTTCCTAAAGAAAAGCTGGAAGGACTAGGTACGCTTGGGGCGTCCTCTAGGAACTGCGAAGATGGTGCTTCTGAAGTTGGTCTTCGTTGCACAGGCGACAGAAGGTCCACTGTGTGAAAGTACCGTTGGCCGGCGAAAGCTGCTCCTTTGACGGATGCAGAGGTGTCAGAGCCATCAGGGATGCCTAATTTCTCCTTTTGCTTGCCACTTTAGATAGCATTGATTTTTGTTTTTAGTCCAGGATTAGAGTCAAGAATCTTCTTAATTTTCCGTTCAACCTTCTAATTAGGTGTCCACCCATCAGGCCGAATTGACTCTATTAGGTAGTAGCATCGTGGGAAGTAGTGGTAACTTCCACAGACGCATAACGTAATTCCTTCAGAATTCTTTGTTGACCTCTAGGCGGTGTTGTCCTAGGACTCTTATTTCTTTTCTTCCTTGCCTTAGAAAGAGGCTCCAAAAGATCCCTTCTGGCTGTTGGTGGCAACCTTGATGCGGTGGGCGCGTTCGAAGATCTCGCTGATCTTGATACCGTCAGGGAATTCTGCTTGCCAGCCTGGCTTTCCTAAGGCGGCTTCGTCTTCTATCTTATTGACCCAGTAGTCAGTGAAAGATAGGTTGATAGACGAAACAGCTTAGAGGAAGTCTTAAGTAGGGCGTTGGTCCTGGGTGTCAGATAACCCTAGTTGTCTTGCCTCAGTAAGGACTTTTTGCCATTGAGTGACCTAAGTCTCGATCTTGGTCCTATTAGGCGACGACAGTGTTGAACGATAACGTTAAAGAACTTCCCGTTCGAGCGCCCAGTCTGTAGGTGCGACTCGAGACTATAGAAGTGATAGTTGCTTCGCAACGTTATGTTCTTCGACGATGGTACTATAGTAGTTGCCGACAGTCTTAACAATGTGTTGTTGAAGGCTGGCGAGGGCCTTCACTTGGTCTCGATACTCTTGTAGCTTTGAGCGGTACTAGGTATGAAGGAATTCGAAGCGTCGGAATTCCTCTAATAAAAGGTCGACTAGATCAGATACTGTGCCATTGATCTGATGAAAAGTCGGTTCAGCTAGTTGCTGAAGGACCGGTTTGACCCCTTTTGCGGTCGGGTTAATAAATGCCTAAAGATTGTGGGATGAGGCGAATTTCTTGATGATAGAAATCCATTGCTTCTAGTCATAAGGGCCGTTGAGAACGATGCTCTTAGAAGAGCCATCGATTTCATTTGTCGAACTCATTGTGGAAGCTATTCGTGATTGCAGCGGAAGGAACCAGAATAAGATACCCAGTCAGTGGCAGACCGGGCTCATAACTATCGCACGGAGGATGAGCTGAGCAAGCATGAAGATCGGGGACTGAGTAGCTTTTGCTTCTGCTATCTAGAGAGTGGAAATGATGCGACTATAAATACATGGTGCAAACAACTAGAACTTTCTAGGTGATTGGTAATGCTCACGTTATATGGCAAATAGTCAACGTTGCAAGTGGCAATAGTAGGTTCATCTGACCACCTTGTCGAAGAATGAAGATGACCGTGTGAATAGGGGAATCAGACTGTGATGTGCTGATACACCCTGTGTGACAGAGACGAATGGAGACGCATTGCTGTTAAAATTCTATGTAACATACTCAATGCTTGACAACCCGTGCCGGAAATTTGAACTCGCACATCTCCTTTCACACTCTATTCCTTTCGCCCTCGCCCCGTTTTTCTGCCTGATCCGCCCGAGAGCCCTTCTGCTCTTTTCGGCGACTGATCCTCGCCTTCAGCTGGGTGAAGGCGGCCACGCCCTTTTCTGTCAGTGTTAACAGCGCCGGTGCAATTGGCTCGGACAGAAACAAGGTCGCGAAGACCATGGCCAGGGTCAGAGCCACCATGTTTTCATTCTTCGCCAGAACCTGCCTGTCGATGGTTACCGGCGTTGAGACGAGCAGCATACCAATGATGTTGATCGAGACCATGTTTGTGAAGAGGCGGCGCGCACCCTTGATTGTCTGGTATCGCTTGAGGGCCAGGATGGTTTGCCTGATGACCACGACTGTGCTATACGCCAGAACGGTGTTGAAAGTGAAGGGCTGTGTCCAGAAAGAGTAACAAACATAGGTGAAGATGGCCATGTCGAAGAAGACAAGGAAGAATTTGGGAGTCTGCGGCTCAACATGCCCTCTATCACTCTGATTCAGGGCTTCGGGGTTGGAGACGCGAGGGGCTGTAGATCTGTAGTCCTCGAGGGTGTTTATTATGCTCTCCAAGTCGTTCTTGAGCAGGCCTATGAGCTGGTCGGCGGAGCGTCCCAGCTCGAAGGTGCTAGTGAAGTGGATGTAGCGTTCCGTCCTCACTTTGATCGGAACTTCGTGCCAGGACGGCGGGGCGGTGCCCAGAGTTTGCTGGTGCTCAACGAATGCCTTGTGTGATACGAGCTCCAGTTGGACAGCCTTATCAACGCCGGTCCAGTCTATTCGATCGTCACCCGATTTGGTCTGCTTCCGTAGAGCCCGCATCTGACGACGGACGAGGAGGCGCACCAGGTAATCTCGGACCGTGGGGGAGAACTGTACTCCAATCTGCCAGCTCATGGAGAGCACCAGCATCATGGTCCTGAACCAGGTTTTCCTGTAGGAGACGCGAATGGCAGGCACCAAGGCGACAAGAGCGTAGACTGAATTCCCCACGAAGGCGCCCAGGAGGCGCTCCAGACTCCAGTTGAAGAGGAGCCAGAAAGTGTGGTACGGAAAGGTCCAGAGAAAGTACAATTGAATCAATGTGACGATACGGCTCCCGATTGACCGCTGGTTGTAGGAGCGCTCGCCCAGGAAGCCGGCCGCGACATCGGGGTAGACAGCACTGAAAGCGAGGATAACGAAGAAGACGTTGACGCCAATTCTCTCGTACCAGCCCACGGTGGCAGCGAAACCCTGCCTCCACATACTGAATGTCTTGCGGACTCCGGCTGCCGATCGAGTGAGGCTTCCGAGCCCAGACCTGGGGTGGTAGTTGTCATCGAGAAGAATCTCAAGCTTCCTCTCCAAGTGAGCAGCATTGGCGGCGGCCAGAATGCTTCGAACTCTGAGCGGGACGTACTTCCAGGCCTCTTCGGGTAGGTCTTGGAGAAGCTGCTGGTGCTCTCTCTGTTCATCTGAGGGTTTGCTGTTTTCGGACGTGGAATCCTCACCTTGTGTGCTTTCTCCCCCTTCAGGGTATTCATGTTGTTTCGGGTACAGGAGGCGTTGTCGTAGGAAGCGCCTTATATCTTCCTCCTCGTCCGGTAACTGGTCACGAGAAACGTTGGGGAACGCGGCGTGGAGGGCGTCGCGGATAGCGTCCGGTTCAATATTGGCGCCCCAAACGGAGGAATACATGCCATCGCCTGGACGGTGACTGTTTCTATGCGGCACCGACCACTTCCAGACGAGAACTGGAATCCCTCGAAGGGCAGTCCAGGCAGTCCTCAACGGCTGGCATCGAGGTCCTGCTGTCTCTGAGGGGACGATCGGCGCCGCGTCATCTTGGGCCATCGTCAATCCAATAAGAAAACGGGAAGCCTAGCCAAGTGAAGTGTATCCGTCTTGATGCTTGGCAAGGGGGCAGGGGGGGTGGTATGAGATATGAGAGAAGGAGAGGGAGACGCGAGCGGTCTGGAGCCATATTTCAGGAGAGTCGAGCCAGGGGAGGCGGAGCACCGACGATTCTCGCCGCCGGGTTCGGCCTGAGGGTAATATTTGAGCTACCCAATCAAGGCCAAACCATTGGGTCCTCGTCTTCATAGCTTCGAGGCTGTGTGGGAGGCTGGGCTCTTGGCTCTCCAGGCCGACATCTGTAAGCCCCCTGATACGCTTCATCAATGATGGTACTGATCCTCGGGCTCGTCTGCGACATCCGTCGATCGTCAGAAGTAAGTATTGAACTAGGCACCTTCTTGGCTTTTAAAGGATCAGTCTTGGCTGTTTGTGCACGCAGCACGGTCTTCAAAAGCTTGTATGCCTAGCAATTGTTGTGCATTATCTGGTAAGTGGCCCTTCATGCCTGCATGTGCAACCAGCTCGTCGGTGTCTGACTCCAAACATGGGCTTCTCGTTCAGACATCTGGTCACGATGTCTACACGTACCGTTGGAATCATCGGTGCCGGACACGTCGGATGTGCCCTTGCCTTTGACCTGTCAAGCCGGGGCTACGAGGTGATTCTAAGGACAATGCCAGGCCATCCAGGAATCACGTCCAAGATCAGGGAGAACGGCAATGTCATTGAGTGCTCAGGAGTCCTCTCCGGCCGTGTCCCGGTCAGGATAGAGGAAGACGTGAGCGTCGCCTCGAACCTCGAGACGTTTCTCGTCGTCTGCGTGCCGTCACAAGGCCACGACGCCGTCTTGGAAGAGCTGGCGCAGCACGACTTGAGCGGCTGCATCGTGATTTTCATCTCGGGAAACGCCGTGTCGGTCAAGGCCAGGCGAGTTCTACGGGCCAGGGCGGTGCTGGAATCCAGCAGCTCGCCGTACAGCTCGCGGGTCAACTCGGAGGGCACGGTGGCCATCAGGGGCATCAAGAGCCGGCTCCAGCTGGGGCCCATGGCCGCGGCAGATGGCGACGAAGATCGCAATGAGGTCGGCAATCTCTTCCACCTGCCCATCGAGTGGAGCCAGACAGGGCTGGACATCTTCCTGTCAGCCGTCAACGGCGTGGTCCACGTGCCGACTGCGCTTCTGAACCTGGGCTGGATCGAGACGACTAATGGCGACTTCTACTTCTACCGGCAGGGCATGAGCGCCGGCGTCTGCAGCATCATCGAGGCGGCTGACCGCGAGCGGCTCGCCGTGGCGGCCGCGTATCGCTGCCCCGTGCAGTCAGCCCTCGACGTCTACAACAAGAACTACGGCCGCCAGGACCAGACGATGCGCGAGTTCGCCCTCAACACCGACGCCCACAACCGCACCAAGGGCGCGCAGAAGCGCTTCCTCAGCCAGGACGTCCCATACTGGCTCGTCCTCTGCGCCGACCTCGGAGCCAGGGCCGGCGTCCCGACGCCCGTCACCGACATGCTGATCCTCCTGGCCTCGATCTTCAGCGGCACCGACCTCAGGGCCACAGGGCGGACGCTCGAGTCACTGGGGCTGCGCGACGCCTCCATGGAGGATGTCGTCCGGGCGTTCCGGGCACCCCGGGGTGAGGACGGGGCGGCCCGCGTGACGGCCAAGGCGCAGCTGCTGGGGTTCTCCTGGATCCGTCGAGGCTTGTTATTCTGAGAAAAAAAGGGGGGCTACTGGGGAAAAAGGGGTTAGGCAATTCCGGGCCATAGTCAAAAGTATACTTTTCGTATTTTTGTTTCAATCCCTGAGTCGGGAGTTTTGGGACGTGTTTGTCATAGACCAGAGTCCACGGGACGAAATGAGTTAAAACACCTTCGTTGGCTGTCCCGTTGGGGGCAATTAATGGGCCCTAATCGCAGCTAGAGAAACACCGGCGGGATTGGATGAGGTTAATCCCTGCAACGTGGGAAAACCTAGGTTCTCTTTACTCGCTGGGCAAGTAATATGCCCATGTCTCGGATTACAGAGGTGGTGAGAGGCAGTGCCACGGCACGTCGTCCCCGCAGTAATAGAGTAGAATTTCAAGTTTTATTTGCTAATCCGAGCCTATCTACAAAGTATTACGAGCAGGCTTGCGAATGGTAGGTCCAGACTCCTATAAGGTCAGCAGAGCTTTGTAGCGCTTTGGCCACAACTGACGACGTGGCACTAGATTCCATTGGCGGCTATTGAGCTGGCTGCCTGATGAATAATGCCGGGCAAAGACATGTCATGTATGTCCTGGGCTTGGCCTGGCGAATGACGGCAAGGAAGAGTGCAGAGCGGTAGCGTGGGGGCTGTTGACCCGAGCAGGGAAAATCACTCGTCTTTACATTATCAGTGGCTTAGAGCATCCATCGTCGTCTCAACCGCATGCTCCGTGTGTACAGTACGTCGTGTGGTCCAGGCTCTCTATCGTATGATGTCCCATACCTTGTACATTGGATGATGTGTATACATACTTCGTAGCTTATGCTGTGCTCGGTCTGCAGCAAAATTACCAGGCTTCCCGATCCAATAGCTCCTTGGCCATGGATCACAAAATCTCGTCGGTTACTGCCGGCCTGTCGTCAGCGTGGGTGCTCACCATCTCATCTGCAGCCATTGGCGAAGCCAGTGTCTGTCTGTCTTTCTAATCTGATGCACAGCCTCGGCGTCGACGATGCTACCTGGGTGCCTATTTGTGCATGCGTGCCCTACGACTCCCAGAATTGCCTCGTCAAGACACATTGGGCTGTCTGTCTCACTCCTCACATCCCCACTCAGCCTGCCTACAGTAGAGCCGAGCCCTGACCTGACGGCACTTGGCCACCAATCAACCCTGCCTTGGGCACCCATCACGCAGTTGGGCCTGGTATTGTCCCAGCCACTTTCCCGAGCGAGCAAGTATCCACCCCTCGCCCCTCGCCCCAAAAGTGCCCCAATCGCCGTGGGCCAGTACCTCGCGCCTCCCTCCAGATACCCCGGCGCCCCTGGCCTGGGGGTTAGTGGCCCTGCAGGGCAAAGCCAAGAACTGATTTTTGCGGCACAGCCCACCGACGATCCAAAGCCTCTGGCTGCCGGCCTGGGGCTGGTCCGTCCTTGCTCACCTAGGCACTGGCATCTGCTCGAGGCATTCCGCCGCCCGCCAACGCGGTGCCCACCGCCCATCAGGACGGCAACAGCAGGCCGCCGTCTCGGTCCCTCAAGCCCGATCCCGCGACGACTCCCCCAAAAGCCTCGCCGGAGAAGAAGCAGCCACCTCACCGGCTGTCTCGAGATGGTCAGGCCGGCGCGTCTCTGAATCGTGGCTCCTCGCAGCCCGTTGGAATGGCAGCCCTCGCCACTGTCGCCGTCCCTGGGCGTGAGGAGTCGTCGCACAACAACCACTCCGCTCTGGCCCTCTCTCGGGACATGCTCCCAATCCACCGCAATTTCTCAGACCGAGCCTAGAGCAGGCCGTCAACGTCTCTCGAGCCGGACCTGGCTCTATCGGATGCTTGCTAGGCGTAGACCCCGTCCCAACACGTGACGCCTAATGAGGAGTCGACCACGCCTACTTAGCCATCTTATCTCGAAAAATTTGAACCACCGCCCACTCTGCCCACGCAAATTGCTCGCGATGCTTTCAGGGCGGTCCGCCCATCGTCGCACCGCCTACGGACCGTCGACCACGCATTGACCCTGGCGCCTGAAAAGACGGAGAAGGTCTGGTCCATCGGCTCGGGCGGCGGCGACGAAGAGGACGGGCTGGTGGAGTAGTCGGTCGCGGAGGCAATGGCCGGTGTAGAGCCCTCCGCCCTCCGCCCGCCACATTCCATTCAGCCTCTCAATGCCGACAGCCGAAGACCCTCGGGCGAGTGTCGCGGCCGTCCTAATCGTTGACCGGGGAGAAGGTGTCATAAGCCGGATGTGTCTTGGTGGGGCATCGGCCATCTTTCAGTCCTATCTAAGGCTCCTATAGCAGGACAACGTTATACTATTCCGAGTCGGCCAACGTGAGGGCATAGTTATATGCCGGCGGGATCTTGCCTACGTTGGCTTAGAAGATTCGCAAGGTCGTCCTATCGCTTCGATTAGGTGGAAAATAGCGAGGCATTAGGGCAACGTCATAGGGCTAGTGCGTCGTTTCTTCGATAGGACGATAGGGAGGAACTAGTCGCCGTCCCTTATACGGCGGCGTTGTGGCCACAACGATGCATAGGGGTGACGGCCCGGCTAGCTCGTAAATAGCGCCTATGTCGGAGCTTCTATCTCCTCTAGCTACCCGCGGCGGCGTTGACTCTAAGGAACGTGTCTACGGGCTGATAGGGCTCTGATTAGACTAATCGGATACTCTAGCTTTTAGAATCTGCCGCTTCTACTACGCAGAGAGCTAGACTCCCATCTACCGTACTAGGCTTTTCTCCTCCTTCGTTAGGCGCCGGACTATGCCGTGAACGCGCTTAGGGCGGGCATGGCATTTAGGGTTATCCGCGCAATGTGGTCAAGGCAGTTTGCGCACTGCTCGAGGGCGGTATATTCTTAGCTAGGATAACCGGCTTTACTATAACATCTATAGCGCGCGATTCGGTCGTAGCTATATCGAGCGTGGAAATCCTAGTATTTATCGTATTAGCTAGGAATATTAGGCGCTATAACTACTAATCCTATAAAGTGCTAGAATTTCGCTAACCTTCTATATAGTTAAGGTCTTAATAGCTTTATCTATTTTATATAATACTTATAGGGTTATAAGACCTTAGATATAACTAACCCCGCGGCTAGTCTATAGCCCTTCTAAAGTCTAGAGCCTTCTAGGTATAAAAGAAGTTAGTAGTATTAAGCGCTAACTTTATAGTAGCGCTAGTCCCGAATAAGTATAGTATACCTACCTATCTAGCGGCACTATAATCTAATTAGAAAATAATATAAAGCTATTCGCTATACTGCTCTCGCGATATAATAGGAGATTAATTAAAATAGCTATAATTATATAAAGGACGACCTAACTTATATAACTTATTCGCGTACTTTTTAGGGCCGCTTAGAAAATCTTTACTATTATTTATAAGAGCTAAATACGGCTAATAAGCATCTAACTATAGTAATATACTTAGCTATTCTTATAAGTATTAAATATTTTATAGCTTAGAACGTTAAAAGTTTAACTAATATAGATCGCTAAGACCTAGTAGAATAACGTTAGTATAAGCTATCGTATAGCTTTCTACTAGTTAATTTAAGCTAAGCTATAGCAGTATATTATTTTAGGGCTCTATCTTAGATAAGGTTATATAAGCCTAGTATATTCTAGCTATATTACTTAATTACTTAGTAATACCTTATTACTATAGCGTTCTACTATAATTAATAATAAGTATTACTATTTATATAGATAAAAGTCTCTATTTATATAGACGATCTACTTTTTCTACGCGTACCCCGCCCGCCTAGGCCCCGCCACCTAATTTAGCTGCACTAACGTGGTAAAGGAGGGAGCCGCGCTAAGCGTAGCGTAAAGCCCCGCTAAGGGAGAAATCTACCCTTCCTACCTATATCGCAAAGTAAAGCTATTCGCGATAGACCTACGATTTATCCTAAACGAGCCTACCGAAGAGCCTGCCGAATAGCCTGCCGAAGAGCCTGCTAAAGAGCTCGTTAGGCTGCTAATTCTACCTCTGCCGCCCTCGCTAACCTTTAACTCCTTTAACGAGCTCTACGACTTCCTCTAGAGCTTCTATCGTAGTTATAGCGCTGCTATTATTAAGATCTCTAGCTTATATAAGCGTGAGATTAACGGGTAGGTCTTACCTATATACGTTATATTTATTTATAATTATAGCCTCTAACGAGCTTCGTTAAGCAGCGGCCTTCGTAAAGCTTCCTTATAAAAGCTTAACTACCCCGTTAAGATTATTATATCTATAATAAAGAGATCTTACTAGAACTAGACTATTCGCGTTAATAATAGTTAATATAACTATAGGTAATTAATCGACCCTTTAGCTTATAATGTCTATCGCCGCCGAACCTAAGTATAGTAAGAGCTTAAGAGAAGCCTTTCTAAGTATCGTGCCCTCCTAGCTCGCGAGATAGCCTCGATTATTAAGGACTCTACTAAAGAGAGCTTCTTCTACTAGCGAGATATATATAACGACCGCTAGAAGATCCGTGCCGCGGCCCTTAGTAGTAAGACTATAACCTAGGCCTTTATTAATTACCTCTAACGCGGCGGCCTTAAGTATATAGTTAAATTTAGCGACGATAACGATAAGTAAAAGGTCGAGGCTATCTTCTAGATATACCCTTAGTACGAGTAGATATATAAGCGCTTTCCGGAAGTCTTAGGACTTAATAATATATATAAAACGAACCGGTTTAAGATATATCTCTTTTAGGCTACTAGAGTTACTAATTAACGGTCTATAGCTAACTTTACTTTTAGCCTTATTAATATAGAGAAGGAGGAAGGGTTTTAGTAGCTTTATAAACGCCTTAACGAGCTTTGCCTTAAAGTTAGGGTCCTAGCGCTTTCTATAGTTATTATAGATAAGGAAAAAGCCCTTAAAAACGTACTCTTATATGTTTTCCCTTTATTATAGTAATAACTTTACGTTTACTATATTAACGCTAATATTAACGCGAAAATTAAGTTATATTAAAAAGAGCTTAGTAGCGTTAACGATAATAACGATAATAATAATAAGAAAGCTAAC